GTATTTAATAAGTTAACATTTTTGTCACAGTTTTGTTGTAGGTACTCAGTCAATTGCATAATACGCTAATGCACCTTTAAGCAGGGTGTTGAGCTGTGATTTCTGTAAGCAAAACACTATTCTGATCTGATGTGCTGTCACTCTATTTCAGATATGGGTTAGTTGTTTGGTGTGGCCTGCAGTGGTTGTGCAACTTATTTTGGCGGGGTAAATCGGATGTTGCAACCTTTATTCAAAATGATCAGTTGCCTGGACTCTTTCCCTTGCACGTCCATAAAATGGCAGAGACTTCAGTGTTAAACGAGAACATGTGTATATGTGACGTTCAATTTTATAACTTACGTAATTTCTTCCACATGGCATGGTGACAAGTGATGAATCCCTTTCGCAGAGCAGCGCACACCTCGTCGTCGTCCTCAGACCAAAAGCCTCTTTGTTTTTTGATGTGGTCCCACAAATGGCGGCGAGCAAAGCGCGCGGCGTCCGGACCTCCGTGTCCGTCGAACACGGCGAACATAGCCACAGCCCGCGGCCGACGAGTGTATTTGGACGGGTGAGAGGAGGGCATCGACGCCTGCTGAAGAGTAGAGCTAGGCTCATCATCTTGAACATAAGTAACAGTGATAGATCCGGGGATGGAGTCTTGGATTGAAGCGTCGGGGTTTTGGTCTTTTGCTGGTGCCGCGATCTCGCCACGTTCGGCGGCGTCCAGTTCATCTTCACTCGGCTCATCCTCCTGCTTCATCGTCACTAAGTCCTCCATATATTTCCTGCCGCCTTGCTCATAATAAATACTTGCTCGACATGAAAATATCCCATCCATGTTTTGATCGGACAGAAAGGCCGGTAGGAGAGCAGTGTTTAATGTTTAGACAGGACTGAGGCCGGTTGAATGCTTTCCTCTTTGTTTACCTTTAGTGTTGTAGTAGTGGGCATGCGCAGAAGCACCATGACAAGTCACGGGTCAGTGGAACCCCTAAACTTATTTATTTGACCCTTGATTTGATTCGAGATGAGCCCTTGAGACTGCCATAACATAATAAGCGTACAACAATAACTATCTATCTATCTATCTTAACTTATTTTAAAATTAGTAAATATAGTAATAGAAAGCATGCAACATTGTATCATCACATCACATGCATCTTTTAATGTCTGCATTACAGTAGTTTTGAAATGATGGATAATATGGTTTTGTTTTGTTCAGATGGGTGAAGGATGGTGGGAAAAAATGGGGGTTGTATGTTGTTGAGAGTGATGCATAGCAACAAATAAAGCAATTTATTGTTTTATTTTGAGCTTTATATATAAAATGCCTGCATATAAACATACGACCCTGTATTTATATTTGCATTGTGAAGATTTATACACGACTAGGCTACTAGAAAATATTATATATAATTTATATGATTGTGTATTTGTACAAGCCGTTATTTTATTTGACGTTACAGCATATTTTGAAGGAGTCTTTGCCCTTGTGCTTATTTGTCTCAAAGACAGTATCCTATAGTAGTGAATCTTGAAAATCAAGAAAGACATCCAGCCAGAGCTTTTTGTGATCTGTCTATCCAGTGGAACTGAGTGAGATGTGCAGTAATTTTAGTGGATCCATTCTAGAGTAGACAGGAAGATGGATCAGACAGATTTACGAATACTTACATGTCAAGAGGTGTCCAGCAGATGGTGCTTTAAGCCTAAAAGATACAATGCACCATAATCTGATTTTACAGTGTTAGAATAATTATGAGACTTTTATTAGTAAGTCTATGTGAGTGTAAAGAGTTTAATTACTTATACCCTTGTCTTTTTTTAAATGCTTTTCTCTTTGACCTTCCAAGCTGTGTGTGGCATATGAAATTGGTCAAATCTCAAACTAAATTACTTTTATTTTGAAATTCCGTCTGACGCTCACATCCGTTCTGGAAGTGGAAGCTGTTGTCAACGGAAGTATTGTCAACGGTCGACTGCACCTTACAAGCCACTTTTAGGGGCGCCGCACTTGCTAGAGGTAAAACAGTGTGAAGTTTTAAAGCTTTGAATCATTCATTTATATAGGCGGAAGAATGTCTGTATATCTTTTAAACTGCCTTTTTGGTTCACTAAACAAATCAAAAAGTTACGTTAGCTCGCCTCTTGAATTGACCACATAGACTCTTGGCGGCTTCTCTGATGATATTGATACATAGTGATAGTCCTCACACTTGTTTCAGAGACATAATTTATGGTAAACACGCTCTGGCAATGTATTCAAACGTTCGGCTACCTTGTTCATAGTGTTATGTTCTCACTAATACGCTTATGCAGGGCTTTATATAGTCTGTATTCATAAGAGGGTTTATGATGATGCCAACCTCTCCTATTATGTGATATGAATAGTTATGGTCGTGTGATAATGCATGCAATTTCATTGAGGGAAAAAAATGTTTTTGCTCTTGTTGCATTCTTGTCTCCTCTCGTTTAGGTTCAGGGATTTCTTCAGCTCTCCACCTTTTGCTTTAGGACAGGCTTCTAGCCATGGTGAGGCTGGCTATCATCATTCTGTTATGATTCATGTCAAGATGAAAAAACTGGAGGGTCCTGATATATAAAAATGTTGTATATATCAGATACCTTGTATAGGGAATTGTGGTAATTTTATGTTAAAACTATTATCATTCATCATTCCTAGACAAATTGTTCCTAGACCAAGAGGTCAGATCTGGTCTAAATTTGTTGAACATGTAGACCAAATGTGTTAAAACTGTAATATAATCAGTGTTTTGTTTTTTTTGCCTGTCTCTCTTTTTCTCTCTTTGTCAGTCTGCTGTGGTGGATCTAAAGACGAAGGAGGAGAAAGATGCAGAGCTGGACAAAAGGATCGAAGCTCTGCGGAAGAAGAATGAGGCTTTGGTCAAGAGATATCAGGTGAATTTAACTGCTGCCACTCTGCCAATTTGTGTATTTGGTGTACTGCTAATAATTCTTTATGTTGACTTTAAGTGTTATTCATTGTACATGGATTGAGCATTTGAGATGCTCAGAATCAAGGCTTTTATCTTGGTCAGTTTTTATTCATTAATTCAGCTTGCTTGTCTTCTCTTGTGTCACCAGGAAATACAGGAAGATAAGAAAAAGGCTGAACAGGAGGGCATCGCTGTGACAACACCTCGGAAACCCCGCCCTCATGAGCCTGAGTCTGAACGGAGAAAGACGGAAAAGGAGAACTTCTCAGTGACCGTTGACTTGTCCAAATCAGCTGCGGTAAAGACAGATAGCAGAATATTTTCATAGAATAGCAATTTACCATAAAATTACATTATATGGTATTATCATAATTGGTTCTGCAAAAAATTACTGTTTAATGCAACTCAGAGGTGGCATATATGCATCTACACTGCAATTGCAGTTGCATAAATAATGCTGTGAGATTTTGAATATTGAAATATGAATGACTGGAACTAAAACCGCCAGTAGGTGAAGGCAAGGAGTTGTTCAGTAACGTTATCTTAGATTATACATATTGCACAACCCTAAAAAGAACTATGATCTATATCTTCACAGCCCTAAAGCCTGTAGTTTATCAGATATTTTTGGCTTTTTAAAAATAAAATATTAAATAGAAGCAGTATATGTAAGTATTCCGTATTAATAAACGTACTATGTTTTTTAATTCAAGTTTGATTCTGAATAACCTCAGACCGCTAATGATTTGCATCAGCTCCAATAGAGAACAAGAGCATGTAGAAGTTAATTGGCCCTCCCATTCCTCACAGCTCTGAGGATTTTAATTTCCCTCCTGAGGAAGGCTGAGACAAGCTGTAGAGTATTTTAATCAATACCTGTAGAGTTTCAGTGGATCACAGATGGTCTGCACAGCTGTGATAGACCCTCCTATTGTGGTCTGCGAAGGTCATGCCTTTCAGTAACTGCAAAGTGAGAATTTTATTCAGATATACTTGTTGAACTTAACAGATAAACATGCAAATTGTTGCTCTGTATAGAATGTGATTTCCAGTTATCGGGCATGGTCTATATTTAATGCAGTGTTGTTATTGTTAACTAAAATGATTAAATGGTTATTTTGTTAATTAACATAAAGCTGGAATAAAATAAAATGATGAAAATGTATACTTAAACTGTAAAAAGAAAATTAGAAATGTTGCTTTGGGAACAAATTGAAATAAAATAAGTTTAATTTGAAGTACTAAAATTATTGCTAAAACTGAAATAAAAATAAATTGAAGCTAAATATTAATAAAAAAACGAATATAAATGACAAGCACATAAAATGCCTAATACTTAAACTAAAATAAAACTGAAAAAGATTGAAATATAAATAATACTAAAACTATGCTGGTCTTATGAACCTGACTGAATAGAAATGTCATGATGAGCTTTTTTACTCATGTACTAAAAACCTCTAAATCTTCATACTGCCTTTCTAGGAGAAGCGTGTGGCGAATGACAGGAAACCAGCTAGTCATCGTGGTGACCAGGGCCCAGAAGAAGAAGAGTCTGGTCTGCCTCATGGTGAGAGTCCCCCCCACAGAACCGGATCGGGCCGGCTGAGCAGAGGTGGCCACCGCGGCGGAAGAAGAGAGCCTCGTTCAAACAAAGGTGAACCATGGTCGGAGAGGCAACCTCAGGATGGTGAAGGTGGAGAGGGTCCAGCTCGTACTGAACGCTCCTCTAGAGGAGGGTGGAGAGGAGGAAGAGGTGGAGGAGGAACGCAAGGAGGATCAGGCTCGGACAGGAAATCAAAGGTCACTATTGACGGTCACCAGTGACCTTTTCTAATCATTTTGTTATTGAGATATTGTAGAACATTGTTGTGGTATATTCATTTACTTACAAAGTCATTTGTAGGTGTGTAGGACACAATAAAATATACAGAAATTAGGACATACGGTTTTAGACACAAGCATCATAATCTACAAGCCATTTTAATTGGAGTTGATATCCAATTTCTCAGGAGTGGGAGGAAAAAAGAAGACAGAACATAGAGAAGATGAATGAAGAGATGGAAAAGATTGCTGAATATGAGAGAGGTCAAAAAGTATGTTTTGGTCAACCCAACTTTCTCTTTTTAATGTATCATTCTAGTGTCAATCTGATACACGTGCACATTCACACTTAACATGTATCTTTTGCAGACTGATGGAGAGAAGAACCCCATCAGAAACTTCCTTGATGACCCACGGCGTAGTGGGCCGATACTAGAAACTGACCGCAAGGAGGGAAGCCGGCGTCACGTGCGCAACTGGGGTGGAGTTGACTTTGACAATGTGAAGACTGGTGCCGAGGTTGAGAAAGAATGGACGGTACTAAGCACATTGATTTGTTTGTTTTCGTTTAAACTACAAGACAAGTACTCTACTGGAATTAAATTGTTCAAATGTGTCATGAAACACATTTATAATGTTACAAAAAAAATCGTTCAAATAATTCCTGATATTTAATTTTTTTCAAATAATCCTGAAAAAAAAAATTGTGTCCAAGTTTCCACAAAAGCAGAACTGTTTTCAATGATTATGGTAAGAAATGTTTTTAAGCACCAAATCAGTACATTAAAATGATTTCTGAAGGATCATTTGACACTGAAGACTGGAGTAATGGCTGCTGAAAATACAGCTTTCCCATCATAGGAATAAATAACATTTTAAATTATATTAAAATAGAAATCGGATATTTTAAATTGTAGTAATATTTCACAATTTGGCTGATAAAACCTTACCAAACCCATGGTTGTGTAATGGTAGAGACCAGAATATTATTTATACTTTCAGACTTACTTTCTCTCTTTTTAATCCCATAACAGAATCGTAGGCCAAGCGGTAAAGGCTCAGTGGATATGACTCTGTCCATGACTGGCCGAGAAAGAGCCGAGTATCTCCGCTGGAAAAAGGAGCGAGAGCAGATTGACGAAGAACGACTGGCTCGTCACCGTAACGCCACTGGCCAGTGGAGACGAGAGTGGGATGTCCAGAAAACAGATACAATGTGAGTATCAAAAACATAAATGTTCACTATTGTAACTATGAGTATGCCATAGAGCTATGGAATCCTTAAAGGGCTAGTTCATTAAAAATTTTCATTCTGTCATATTTTACTCGCCCTCATTTGGTCCAAAACCCATATGACTTACTTTCTTCTGTAGAACACAAAAGTAGACATAAATACTACACATTCACTATATGGCAAAGAGAGGCCAGTACTTTGTTTAACATTTTTCCTTTTGTGTTGAGCAGAAGAATGTCATGAATGACATCAGGGATGACAGAATTTTTATTGTGAGATTATGCCTATAATATTAGCTCTAACAATTTTATTTCTGTGTTAAAAAGAGAGACAGATAAATACTCCGTGTATAGGAGTAATTCATGCTGACAGGGTGAGAATGAGACGACCAGTGACCCTGTGGCGTTTTCACAGGTTCAAGGAGGACTCAGCTGTGGCTGGAGAGGGCACACGGGGTAGGGTGGGTGTGGGGGTGTGGCGAGTGTCTCTTTACCCTCCTTCACAGTTCACATTGGCCCTAGTCTGAGTGCAAGCCAACAGCCGTTCCTGCGCTGATAGTTTGTGATCAACTCTGGAATGCGTGCACCTAAAAGTGTGCAGCAAACAGCCAGTCACCCGGAGCATGGAGAGCATCGGTTTGATTCACTTCTCGCAAGAGTCTGCGCAATTCAGATACAGGGGGAGTGACTTTATTGCATTGGATATATGTCACTTTGCTCAAAGCTGATTGGTCTAGTTTGGTTTTGCAATCTCTAACCCAAAGCAAGGTAGTCGTGTAGCGCAAGTTACCATGGCGACGAAACCTGCTCAAAACCAACCCACCTTCTTGAGCCCAAACTTACCTGGGTAAAAACAACAGGCCTCAGGACACTCTAATTTTGGCTAATTAGTGGTAAATAAGTCTGTTAACAGTCTTCCACACCCATCACAGTGACCACCTGACACCTGTTCTACACAAACAATGAATGTCACCCCACATTTTTAGAGTGCCTATTACTTCATACAGCCAGCCAATAGACTAATACTCCAGCAAAAGCATAGAGTAGTTACAGGTGCACGTTTATACACATTTATTACATTTTATATTACATTTATTACACTTTGTGAAACTGTCTTTGTGGCTCTTTGGTGATGTTTTGTGCTGTGGTTTCTCAGCAGATTCTGACATAAACATGCCTTAATGATCCTTTAGCATATATATATATATATATATACACACACACATATATATATATATATATATGGGTGGGTGTATAGTTTTGTTACAGAATTAGTCTTACATTTTCAACATTTGCAGTAAAAATTAGGCCCTGCATCCTCTGGGATGTTTTAAATGAGGACATCAGCACCTAAAATAAAATGTTGTATTAATTATTTTTTCACTTTGGTGCTTTCATTTGGGTACTTCTCAGTTCAATCCAGCAAAACTAAATGTCCTAATCAAAGATGTGTTCTGTTATGTTCAGGATTGTAGCATACTACCAATTGGCTTATACTCAAACGACATTCCCCTGCTAAGGCACAATCCTCTATCTAACATCACTCTTTCCCTAACATTGTAATTTTTACATTACATTTTTCTCCTGAATATTGATATTCAAAAGCTGTCGCTCATAACAAACCAAAGTACATCTTTTGCATTGAAGAAATTCTTGCTGCTTTTGATACATGCTCATTTGCTGATGTCTTTACTTTGAGTGCCTTACAAACCCAGTGTCTACCTCACAACGTTCAAGTCAAATCTCATCACAGTGCTGTCAAATCAAGGGCACATTTGCATGTTTTTCTCATCCATTCCCCTCCTCTCATCCTGAAAAGTGATGCATAGAGGGGCAATCCATCAGAATGACAAGGGGCCATCTATTACTCAGGGTCATCTCTCTCCACCACAGATTTCAGACGCAGAATTGTTTTCCAAGGTCTTGCTCAGCCCTACGTCACCCTTCAAGGATAAATATTGCTGTAATCTCTCTTATGCAGAAGATAGCAAGAGGCCCCCCAAGGCACCAACCTTCGGGGACTTCATGGGACAGGGCAAACCCAGACAGGGAGGCCGTGGACGAGGGAAGGGTCACGGTCAAAGCAAAAGCTACAGGTATGCAATAGTCCTTTGCATTGTGGAGAATGATCCATCTTTCAGGACCACACCAGCATTGAGCAGAGGAGTCCAGTCCTGCTCCTGAAGGGCCACTATCCTAATTAAACACATCTGAACCAGCTAATCGTAATCTCCATGGATTACAAGAAATTTCAAGTGTGTTTGGGCCAGTTGGAGCCAAACTCTGCAAAACGTTGGCCCTCCAGGAGCAGGATTAGACATCAGTGTTCTAGCGATCTTATGATATGACTTAACTAGACCGGTTTTCTTTCCTGTGTTGATGTCCTATTAAAACAGGTGGAATTAGACATATCAGCCCTGCCCTATAAAGTCCACGCTTGGGAACTTAATTGTCTCATGCAGGACACCAAGTGACCCTTATATGCACCATTTTTGACGGCCCCATTAAAGAGTTTGTCCCTTTTTCTAGTAGCCACTAGGCTTTAGTTATGTTCTCTAAACGTTGGCCCGGTTTCCACCTGGTAGTAAGATGCAGTTTCTGTAATCTGATCACAAGTAGTCAGACAAGACACATTACAGTTTCCACCTGGTATTAACATTTGTTTCAAATGCATCTGAAGGAGATCAACCTATGTTACTCGGGTTAGCAGGAAAGGAAGCGAATGCAAAGTATGAAGGACTACATATGTGCGTTTGGTACAAAGCAGCAACATTTAAATCGCTTGTTTTGGTGTGTTCTCACATTGTGAGAATGATCACCATTTCCACTACGTCACATGTTTTTAGCTACCTCCATATGTGGTTTCCAGGATCCAATAAAAAAAAAAAAGAGGTTTTAGACCCAATTTCTACCTGTATTTAGCGTCACCACTTGTGATCAGATCACAGAAACGCATCTTAATACCAGGTGGAAACAGGGTTTATGATTTGATGCCTGTTATTGCTGTTTGGCATTATAGGTAGAGAAATTTTCATTCTAGGGAGCATTTCATGAATTAATATTCATTGACCAACATCCTTCCTTCCTACAGCATGCATGATAATCGGTGGGAAGGGGAAAATGAAGAGGAGAAAGGAAGAAAGGAGGAGCAAGAGAAGGAGAAGGATGAAGAGAAGGTCAAAGAGAAGGAAAACGAGAACAAGGATGGCACCCTCAAGGCTACATTGTCAGACAAGGTAAGAGGCCTGAAAACACTGAGTATTATGGTACTAAGAGTTCTTTTGAAGAGCCATATGAGTGAAGGTTGCTTTTAATTAGTCTGGGTTTCAATTGTTCCTGACCTTCTCCTGCTGTGCAGAAGTCTGATGAAGGAGGCCTCGCTGAAGAGGATGATGATGAGTGGGAGGATGCCAGCGATGGTGAACAGGAAGATGTAGAAGAGGATGAAAAAGCAGATCACGAGGAAGACTCAAAAGATGCTAAACCAACAGAAAAGACCCCTACCTCTCCTGCAACCTCTACTCCCAGCCCAAAAGAGCAACGTACCCCAAGACCCAAAGTCCACATCCCTTCCCCACAGGAGACACTCAGTACACCAGAGGGACCCAAACCGCACAGCCCTTTCTCCCCACTGGACGGTCACCAGCCTGTGTCAGACTGGGGTGAAGAAATGGAGATGCTTTCTCCTAAGAGCAGTCTGGGCGAGAGCCCTCTGAGGCCCAGCAGCACTGAAAGCAGTCCAGCTCAACCTAAGAGCAATCCAGCTGAACATAACACGGATACCACCCCCAGCCAGCCAGAAGAACCAGAAACAAAAGAAAGTGCATCTACAGGTGGGATAATTATGGTCTTTATTTAGTACATTACAGTTTCTCTTTTTTGCAATGTTTGCTAAGATCTGGGGTATGCTTCGTTTTTCCATCTGCCATTATGTCTCGCACACGGTCAAGTGTTCTAGCCTTTTAACCTAGACTCCACTGGCAGTAACTTGTTCAGACGGGTGATGTATATGCACTACGACTGTAATAGTCCTCCTGACCTGAAGAGGACAGCACTGAGTTGTTTTCCTTATACTGTTTCAAAGTGGAGTTGTACAAACGCGGGTACTTTTTGACCTCCTCGCATATCCGTTGCTGTTGTCTGTACCTTCATCTTCCATTGTTTTTATTTCGTTTTCTGATACTTTCTTCTATTGGTTCTTGCAAGCAACAACCCATCTGTTAGCGTTGCCCCGTAGTGGAGCCAATTCCATGCATGTGCACCTACTGATGACAAAATTATAAGTATAATTAAGTAATGCATAAGACATTGTGGCAAACAAAAAATTAAGCATACTTTAAAGTTTTAGCAACTGCATAGTAACACACTATATATACACACATAGCAAATCTAAAAACTAAAACTATATAAAAAAAATTGTTAATTGAAATGAAGCAGAAATTAAATAAAATATAAATCTTAGATGAAAAACTTGAAAAAACTTTTTTTCACTGTTTGTCAGAGTGACTTTGTTATCTTAGTAGTGAAACCTAAGTGTCTTTTCACATTCAGTGGTGGATTCAGCTTCCTGTGAAACACAAAAGGAGCCGGTACCAGCTGAATCTGCTGACACAACCACCTCGAGCAGCCATGACACAGGAGATCCTGTAGTGCCGCCCACCACAGACAGCGTCAACCAGAGCAGTAAGTCAAAACAATTCATTAACTTTTTATGATTTCCTCCAAATGAATCATTAATTGTACTCTCCTATATATCCTGTTTATTCTCTGATTCAGAGGACAGCGACGCCCCCACTATAGAGCTGGATCAGAGTCAGCCTGAAACTAAGGTTGGGGAGGAAACAGCAGTGGATTCTTCAGATCAACCCTCCTCAGGTGCTGTTCTTATTACCAGCTTTGAGACTGTGGAATTTCGAAAGAAATCCCTTACTTCAGCTGACTTCTAACAACTAACCGACGTCCTCCCCTTTTCTTCGCACACTTCAGTCTTTCTTTTCTCTCTGTCTCTCCCTCCCTGTTCACTACACTCATGTCTCCTTTACGTTCCCGTGTCCATCTGTCTCATGGCATGAGATGGCATCTGCTGTTGAGCTTGTTTCTATCGTCTTTGACAAATGAGAATGCAGCTCCTCAGGCTATGACAGTCCTCCCCCTCCTCTGGGACTGACTGCTTCTGTCTGCAGCTTCACACTTGCTGTCATTCTCCACTGTGAACCTTGTACACCTCCTCCAGCATGACTAAAATCCCGCGTTTATTGTGCTCCCGGATCCCCTCATTGTCATTCATGCACCTCTTTGATTTCACACCTTTCCCTGGATGACATGTTTGGATTTGGGTTATGGCTTTTTCCCCTTTCATGCATGTCACAAACTGCTTGAGCAAATAAGTGTTGTTTTGATTTTTATTCCATTTTTGCAAAAGCATATATATATGTGTGAGTGTGTGGACTGCAAACAGGAATGATTTATAACATCATCCCAACAGGATCCCATTTGATCGCCGTTTAGGATCATTATCATTGAGGGGAAAGCAGCTTGCAGAGATGAATTACACAGGGTAAACCTAATGTGGTTCCAGAGACTGTATAGCATCTTATTAAATTTCTTGTCATTTTAATGTTTATCATGTATGAATGTTTATCAAGCCACACAGAATGAATGTATCAAGTTCACCAGAGTGCAAATGAGGGTACTTTTTTTTTTTTTATAAATAAAATCCATTGTTTATACATCTAGACTAAAAAATAAGTCCTCTGAGATGATCAGGGTTCCTGCGGTTTTAGAAAACCTGGAAATAGCAGGACATTTTTTAAAATGATGCTTACCAGGTCTAGAAAATGAATAAAATCTTAAAAATCATGGAAATTTGTGAATAATCTTCTAGTTATGCTCTGTTTAAAATTATTTCATAAGCTAGACTTTTTACTGGAGTCTTTTTACTCATTTTAAATAAAAGATTTGATATGTGACTGGTTTGGATGGGTGTATGGTGGCCCAGAAGGCATTCAAACCGCATTCAAATCTCATTTTATGTGTTACTTGCTATCTGACATAGACTTAAATATGCCACAGTAATCTCATTAAAATTATTTTTAAGATTCCTTATCCAGTAATAGTGAACAACTGGAAATGTCATGGAAATTCATTGTTTAAAAGAACCCAGGATTACACTCATTTGCAGAGCAAAGAGGAAAAACAAAACCAGCCCAAAATTATGAAAGAAAAATTAAATTGGTGGCTTTTATCCTCATCAGTTTGTTTTTTATAAAGTCTGAAATTTGAATCATCTCTCCTTTTTATTGCCCTTTTAAGTTGCGGTCACATTCACCGTTCAGCAATTTTCACAGGCAAATCCAGTCATTTCAGTAGGAATCCACGCAATCTAGAATTTAGTGTGAAGGCGAAGTATTTGCCCGCACAGATTTCACAATGGGTTTAAGTTGGTCATGCAAATTTGCCATGATGATCAAAGCAAAGTGGCTTGGTTTGATTAAGAAAATGGCTTTAGTGTGAGTGTTGCTTCATACATCTCTCCACTATTGACAATAGACAGTGGACCTTTAGTTTCTGTGAAATTTTGCCGAAATATCACTGATGTGACTGCACCTTAATTTGTACAAGCTACTCTGTGTCTGTAGGATTTTTACTTATACAAGTGATGAATTTGTAGTTTATACTCTAAAGATTTGGCACAGTGCTGGAATGGCGAATAAATGTTGTGCTGCTTATTACTTCTGATTGTCTCCCTTTCCCTTTTGAATTGAGGAACCACTCCTAAGTGGTTTGTGTTTCATGAATGCTTGATGTCACATCTACTCCATTGCCAAAGGCTCAACCCTGTCACTCAATCATTTGGGATCTCTGTCCTTCTCCACCTGCTTCTGCTTATTGCCATTACATCATACCAGTTTATTATGCAATTAACTCCTCATTAGCAACTAATGAGTGGATGTGATTTCTTGCCAGTTCTCTCATTCAGATTTCCATTGTCCACATGCACCCTGGAAACACAAACTAATGGCTCAATAACAAGATTCTTGTATTTCCTTTAATTTGATCACTCTTCTACGTTTAGCCTGTTTAACAGGAGGAAACATCCAGGAAAACATTTTTTATTGCTAAAAATGCTTTTATGAGCAAACTGCAGTCGGCTTTCAGAGCAGGGGGCAGTTGCATAAACTTAGCCTCTATGTTAAGACAATGTCTTAAGTATGAGTTTGACCAACTAGCTGTTAGCCAAGGGGTAATCAGTCTTATTTTGGGATTCAAGTTAGACTAATGTATGCTTTTATGTAACTGAATTAAAAAAATTATGACCAGTTTTAAAGAAAAAAAATTGAACCTTAAACCTTATATGCAACTGGCCCCAGAGCGGTAATGAAACCCTTAGAAAATCCAATGCATTTTTTGTCTTGAAACAGTACATACTTTTTTGCTCTTTTTTTTCAGACAAACCATCTGAAATGGTGGTTTAGAATCTGCTTCTACTTATTATATCACTCATACTGGGTGTTTTCATGGTAATGTTTTCATCCTGACTGCTTTATATATATCAACAGGCTGAGGACTAAATGCAGTAGGTGAACTTGTTGCTTCACAAACTGGAATAGGAGGTAAGAAGAGGAAAGAGAAGACAAAAGGGGCCTGTACCATGAAGCCAGATTAGCTGGCTAGCCAGGTAAGTTTCAGTTTAGTTTGCACCAATCCTGGGTTTTAGGTACCATGAAAGTGGCTTGGCTTTTAGCGGCATTCATTGCCTTAGTAGCTTACACTCCACAGCTAACCTGCTCTGGGGCAGGTTATGTTCTGGTTTAGAGATCTCAAAGCGAAATTTGACCAATCAGCTTCAAGCAAAGTGACACATCTCTGATGCAATAAAGCCACTCCCCCAGTTTCTCTTACTCCAAATTAAAGGACGATACATAGTAAAACATTTTTAAAGATAAAATTGTCTGAATTTAGAGATGATTATTTTTTATAATTATTTTATATGATTTATATAATTATTATACCCTTAATCCATTACACAAGCTAGCTTAGTTTAATAGTAATTATTAAGCTTTTATTTTAAATTAATATAAACATATAGATAATATGCAATATAAATAAGTTTTAGAATCAATAGCTTTAAACATGACTACATATG